TGCTGCTACTACTGCTGCCCGGTGCTGTCTCGGCTGCTGCTGCTGCTGCGTTATACTCGTTTGGGTCAGTGAGTTTGTCAACAAGCCGCAGCTGCTGCAGCTGCAGCAGCAGCAGTAGCAGCAGCAGCAGCAAACTGAACGATGGCAGACGCAGCTGTGGGTAAAAGAAGCCTCGAGCGTAGACCGACACCAGCAGCAGCTGCAGCGCCACTTGCTGCAGCCACACAGCAGCAGCAGCAGCAGAAGCAAAAGCAGAAGCAGCAACGGTCAGTTATACCCCACGCCGCAGCAGCAACAGCAAGAGCAGCAGTCAGTAACGTGCAGAAGCAGCAGCAGCAGCAGCAATCAGCAACATCTTGTGCAGCAGCAGGAGCAGCAGCAGCAGTCAGTAACACCATGAGCAGCAGCAGTGGCAGCAGTCAGTAACATCATGAGCAGCAGCAGCAGCAGCCAGTAACACCATGAGCAACAGCAGCAACAGCAGCAGCAAGCTGCAGAAGCAAACACTAACCCATGGAACATCCCCAGAGGAAGCTGCGGCGCCTGAAGGATCCTGATTCTGTTGCTGCTGCTGCTGCTTTACAGTCTGTTGCTTCTGCTGCTGCTGCATCCACGGTATTTGCTGCTGCTGCTGCTGCTGCTGCAGGTAGCGCTGTACCACCGCATCATACATTCGGCCGCTTTGACTGTATACGCCCCGCGGCGCCAGCTGCTGCTGCTCGTGCTGCTGCTGGTTGTGCTGCTGCTGCTGCTGCCGCTGCTGCTGCTGCTGTTGCTCCTCGTGCTGTTGCTGTTGCTGCTGCTGCAGCAGTGCAAGCCACTCTGCGTCGGCCTTGCCGTGAGCCCCCTTTCCTAGAGCTGCCTCAACAGCAGCAGCAGCAGCAGAGGTGTTGGCGGTAGAAACAGCAGCAGCAGCAGAATGCTGCGGGGGTTGCAGCCCTGCAGCAGCAGCAAGGACTGCTGCAGCAGCTGGCGGCAGCATCTCGACAGCAAGCAGCAACCACGGTGAAGGCCTTCTTCCGCTGGCCGGCATCACTTTGCTGCTGTTACTGTTGCTGTTGCTGTTGCTGCTGCTGCTGCTGCTGTAGTGCCTATTGCTCCCACTGCTGTGTTCACCCCTGCTGTTGCTGCTGCTGCTCGCGTTGCTGCTTGTTGCTAGCAGCCCGCGGGTTTTCTCTGCAGCGAACAGTCCACTAGCAGCATAACCCCAAGGCCTTGCTGCTGCTGTTCCCGGCGCTGCTGCTGCTGCTGCTGCTGCTGCTGCTCTTAATGCTGCAGTCGCTGCAGTTAGAGGGCGACCCGCAGCAGCGCCTGCTGTTCTGGGCAGTAAAAATGAAGCAGTGGCAGGCCTATTTAATGATGCAGGAGCAGCAGCTGTTGCTGCTGTTGCTGCTGCTGCTGCTGCTGCTGAGTGCCTTTGGGGCAAGCGCAGCAAGGCTGCCCCACAGCGGACGCAGAAGGCAGTCGGTGGAAGCATTTTTGCTGCTGCAGCTGCTGCTGCTTCACTGTGTCCGCTGCTGCTGCTACTGCTGCTGCCTGGTGAGCAGCAGCAGCAAAGACATGTCGAGTGAGTCTACCAGCTCGAGGGGAGCCTTGCAAAACCCTAAACCCTCAACTTCCCAAACCCCAAACCCTAAACCCTAAATCCTAAATCCTAAATTTCACTAAATGGAGAAAGGCGGGCAGAACACCGAAGACTTTCAGACCTAAAGCCCCCAAACCCTAAACCCTAAACCCTAGCCGCCCGAGCCAAGGCCCCCCGGGTCACTCGAGCTGGCAGCAGGCAGCTGCGACGAAACCTCAGTTGTTTGCCGCTTTCTTCTGCGGTTTGAAACTGAATTTTTGAGGGTTTTGAATTAGGGTTTAAGGTTTACAGTTCACGGATCAGGGTTTAGGGTTTAGGGTTTAGGGTTTAGGGTTTGGCAAGATGTGGCTCATACAGCTGTCACACCGGAGCACTGCCGTGAGGCGCGGCCTCACTTCAGCAGCAGCAGCAGCAGCAACTGCTGCTGCTGCTGCAGCTCCTGTTGCTCCGTTTGCTTTACACACCTCTCAAGCACGAGCAGCAGGAGCGTCAGCAGCAACAACAACAACAGCTGCTGCTGCTGCTGCTGCTGCAGCTGGCTCGCTACGCCTTTCTCCCTTGAGTCTGGCCCATGCTGCTGCTGCTACTACTGCTGCTCCCTCCCTCTTCCTCCCCCGCAGCTTCCGCTGCATCAGCAGCTCCGCCGGCGCCCCAGCCAGCAGCAGCAGCAGCAGCAGCAG